TGCTGCGGCTCGGGCCTGTGAATCTCTGGGGCTCTTGCTGTCAGTCTGAAACGATTGACGGGCGTGGTGTCGTGGCATGCTGTCGAGCCATGCTGTCAAGGTTGGGGAAGCGTGTCACCGACAGAAGATGGAATGGAACGATAACATGTTCAGCAGTGGTGCGGCCCTGGTGATTGATGCCAGTGCGGCAAAAACAACCCGAAGACAACAGAAGGCTGCCCTGTCATGCCTGCAGGGTACATGCCGTTGGTGCATCTCCTCGAGCTGCCGCGTTGACACGAAGACCTCGGCGTGGCTCTCTGGGCGCACGCGGAGCTCGTTAGGGCTGTCGTGATCTGAACTCAGCCTGGACAATGGTTGTACGATGGCATGGCAGAAGGCTGAGGCGAAATAGGCTTCTAGTTCGCCATCAGGCTGCGATGCTTCGGTGTGGCCATATCACTGCCGACGAGAGCTCCTTTGGCAGTTGCTTGGACCCTTTTTCTTGACCCGCCAAGGCATCGCCTCCTGCAGATGATGTGTCGTCCAGATAGCAGGAATACGAGGCAAGATGCCGACAGAGCCGTGTGCTGGATTGTGAGCAGCAATGTGATGAGTCTCGGGGGAGGACAGTGGCCAGGCGGGGAGGGCAAGGCATAGGAAATGGTGAAGGCAAGGAAGGGGGTCAGTCAGTCGTTCGAACGCTCTCATTCGTTGGTTGCAAGAGGGAAGATACGCGGAAGGGCCGAGTCCGTCTTCCGATGCTGACATGGGCGCTGCGTCTACGTTCCTCCCTTGCCTAGGTACCAGGTAGGTAGATGCCTACCTTGCCTACCTTACCTACCTAGGTAGATGCCTACCTTGCTACTTAGGTAGATACCTACCTAGACACCTACCTAGACACCTACCTAGATACTTACCAAGGTAGGTCCCTGATGACGAAGGCAGGCTCAGTGGCTTACAGCTTCCCAACAGCAACCCAAGTCGCCAGAGGTTGCTCTCCTCCACGTCCCGAACCCAGCGAGTCTCGTAGGGCCACTATTCCAAGTTGCCGAGTGCAATCAGCTCAACCGTCGTTCACAGGCACGTCATCAAGATTCCACGACGCACTCACACGACCTCATATCCCGACCGAAGCAAGATGAACGGGCTGCTCTCTTGGTGCCAACCAGCTGTTTGCAGACAGATTCAACGCTACGCTTGGCTACGCGGGAAGACTAGTTGCCGAGCAGACGGTGTGGAAGCTTTTCTCCCGAACCTCATCAAAGCTCTTCGCTTACTCAGTGGCCGCCGAGAAGAGAGTTTGGGCTTGAGGTCATGCCGCCCCTCCAGCGCGACGCTACTCATTCGATGCTACACTGGCGCCAACCCACAATGACCTCAGCACCCGTACCCTAACCCGACTTCCCTCATGAGGTCTTTGGTTCTCGTCTTGGATTTTCGTCGGCTACCACCAGCAAGCTACGACTAGCAGACTCTGAGCAGACACGAGCCGGCTCTGCGTCGGTCTCTCCGACGTGAACCAGGACCCTGGATCATACCCCACGACTGACGACTGACGACTGACGACGGGCGACTCGACCAGGTTTCCATGATGGAGATCGTGACGCCGCCACGGTGCCCGCGCCACATGGCTGTGGCCGTGCTTGCCTCCACCGTCATGGCCCTCCAACCAATTATATAGCAAAACTGCGTCTCGGCAATGACATCAGCGGGGTCGCCAGCCACATGCCGCCTCGTCATCATGCCATCCGCGAACGTCTCATCCACTCGACTCTAGATCATCATGGCGTCTTCTTCCTTATTCAGAGCTCAGATCCCTGACGATGGCTTTGCTCCG